CAGGTGGTGCTTCCATGTAAACCTCATCTTTTAGTTCTCCATGGAGAAAAGCATTCTTCACATCAAACTGATATAAGGGCCAATCTAGATTAGCTGCTACAGAGAATAATACTCGGATAGTATCAATTTTGGCTACCGGTGAGAAAGTCTCAGAGTAGTCAATACCATAAGTTTGAGTATATCCTTTAGCTACTAATCTAGCCTTATATCTCTCGATTGTACCATCTGCCTTGTGTTTGACTGTAAATACCCATCGGCATCCGACAGGTTTCTTTCCTGAGCAGAGTTGACATTTCTCCCATGTGTTGTTTTTCTCTAGCGCCTCCATCTCCTCCTCCATTGCTTTTCTCCATTCTGGTATTTGTATGGCTTCGTCTACTGTTCTAGGAACTTCATGGGTGGATGTGTGAAACGCTTGTGACACACTCCCCCTGACCAAATCAGCAACAGGATATCTTGAATTCCGAGGGATGTATTCTGGTTCATATCTGACAGGAGGAATTCCCCGATTCTTCCGTGGTGGGAGAACATATCTGTTTGATATATTCAATTCTTCCACGGTATCATTAGATTTATCAATGCAATCATCAGGAGTGGGGAAAGTACTAACCTCAGGAGTTTTGTCAGACGGAGTAGAATCAGACATGAGTTCAGAGTTGTTGGACTGTTCAATGTTCTCAGAAGATGATCTCACGGAGTGACTTACTTCCTCGGTTGGGACAGTTTCAGGCGGCAAGACTGGGTTGTGTAACCACTCTAGAGAGTCATTCGTAATTTTCTCTCCCTGACTACTAGAGTGGTTTGGAAATAGTACTCAGTTTCCAAAAAATTACAATCCATTGTCGTGTACATCCGACGAGAAATAGGATCATAACATCTGTATCCCTTTTTGTGAACCCCATACCCAACAAAGACACATCGGACAGCACAAGGATGAAATTTTGTTCGTTTGGCTTTTGGAATATGTACATATACAGTGCAACCAAACACACGAGGAGTGAGAGTCAAGAAGGTGGGAACAGTGGAAAATTTTGCGAGTGTATCAATGGGTGTTTTGTGATTTAGGATTTTTGTCGGAAGGCGATTTATGAGATAAATGGTGGTTGCAATTGCTTTGGGCCAGTAATAAATAGGAACATTTGACTCAATCATAAGAGCCCTAGTGATTTCGAGTATGATCTGATTCTTACGTTCAGCAACACCATTTTGTTGAGGGGTATCAGGACAAGTGGTTTGATGGATAAGACCTTTTTTCTTACAGAAATTTTCCATAGGATGATTTATGTATTCTCCTCCATTATCAGATCGAAGAATACAAATCTGTTTTTGGTATTGTGTGTTGATCAATTTGTAAAATGAGGTGAACTTTTCAAAAACTTCAGATTTGTGTTTAAGAAAGTACACCCAAGTCATACGGGTACAGTCNATGCCACAACCATGCCTGCCTGTCCACTGTCCCATGAGCAAGCGTAACAGTTCCGTAATGATCAAATTCCTCAACATAGTACAGGCCATTACGCTCAGAACCACGCCCAATGATCTTCCCCGTCCGAATATCCTGTAATAAGCAAAAAGTGGGGTGCATTAGGACCATGCAATTTAATTGTTTTGTGACATGGCTTATTGACAGCAATTTGTGAGACAATGTGGGAACATATAGGCAATTCTCCAGCCGGATAGAATTTGAGATAGATATTGGACCAGTGCCCTCGACACGAGAATAATCCCCATTGGCCGTTTGGATATGGGTTTTCTTGGACCAATTTAGAGAATTAAAATCGGAATGGTCGAATGACATCGTGTCAGTAGCCCCACAGTAAAAAATCCACTGGTTATTTTTAATTTGGTTGGGTTTGGTCCAAATTCTATTTATTGGGCCTGATTTGGAAAGAGTATTTAATCCCTCTCCCCGAACCCTACCCGTAACTTCTTCGCCTCTCCTTCTTACGCCGCTGCTCTCTTCTTCGACGTTACCCATGGCGATTCCGGCGAAGTTTTCAGACGCTTGGACGACGGTGGTGCTGGTGGTCTCTTGATTGCCCACCACTGCCCCAGCGACCCCAGGTAGCTTCTTCCCCCTCTTTCGGCTGTCAGGCCACCAATCTGGGTACCCGATTCTCTTGAAGCACCCTTCTACGGTGTGCTTGGTTCCGCCACAGTAGGTACATTTCAATTTTGATTTGTCCTCATTTATGCGAGATGACGATACCAGGTTTTTTTTCCTTTTCCGATCGCAATCCAGCCCGTGTGGCTGCGAATCCACTGCCAAGACCTGAGGGATCTCCCGATGAAGGTCCATTGTCTCCCTTCATTATTCCTTTCCTGGTAGCCTCCCTCCTGATTTGGGCGTATGCCTCTTCTACGGAGGGGAGAGGATCTGTTTTGAGAATATCACGTTTTTCTACATCAAACTCTTCGTTTATGGCTTGTAAAAATTGATACAAACGATTTTGTTGTTGAATTTGTGTGAAAATCGTCATATCCTCCGGGCATTTCATCGGGTTGGGTCGCCTCCTGTCGATTTCCTTCCACACAGCTTGCAATTGGTTGTAGACCTTCTCTAGTGTCTGGTCTCCTTGTTTGATGCTGCTAGCTTTCACCATCAAGTTGTATACCTGCAAGGGATCTTTCCCGGAGCCGTAAGTGGCTTCGATTCCCTTCCACAGATCCCAAGCAGTTGGATAATCGATATATTGATTGACAATATCTGATTCTATGTTTTCTAGAATCCATGTTATAACCGTTGAATCTGCTTGTCTCCATTTAATAAATTTCGGGTCATCTGATTTGAGAGGTGTGGCAAGGATGTGCTTGAGCCGCCCTCTCCCATCCAACGCCAGACTCATTTTGCGCGCCCAAATGGCGTAGTTCCTATCGTTGAGCTTTTCCGCCATATTTAATAGCTGATTGGAAGAGCTCTCGATAGGTTCGGCCTTGGGTGCCAAATTCTGAAAATTTTGAAGAATTTCCAGAATTTGTGCAAGATTGATCGGCTGATTTTTCGGGTCAGATTCCTCTATGTTTATGGAACTGCCCGTTTGAGGAGTTTTATCGGACATTTTTTATGGGATATGATGAATGCTGCGTTTCATTCAATTGTTTGATCGAATGATGACTTTGATACCATATTAGAGATATTAGAATGAATTCACAGCATAATTTTCATCTTATTAAATTCATCATCAAAATGATGAGTATAAATATTACAAAGTAAATAATCAAGACAATCAAGGAAGGTAAGTGGAAGATAATCAAATATCTTTGATTGGTAATTTGATTCCAATCAAGGATATTATCCTAGTCATCAATAATATTCCTTTGTTTGACACTATTCATTTGTTTGACATTTCTAACAAAAGAAAATCTTTGAAAAGTTAAGATTTTAGATCTTGTTATCATTTAATTTATTCTTAGTTACTCCCTCCGTCTTAAAACGTCTTTCTCGTTTCTGTCTACAAGATTTGACTNATATTAGAATGAATTCACAGCATAATTTTCATCTTATTAAATTCATCATCAAAATGATGAGTATAAATATTACAAAGTAAATAATCAAGACAATCAAGGAAGGTAAGTGGAAGATAATCAAATATCTTTGATTGGTAATTTGATTCCAATCAAGGATATTATCCTAGTCATCAATAATATTCCTTTGTTTGACACTATTCATTTGTTTGACATTTCTAACAAAAGAAAATCTTTGAAAAGTTAAGATTTTAGATCTTGTTATCATTTAATTTATTCTTAGTTACTCCCTCCGTCTTAAAACGTCTTTCTCGTTTCTGTCTACAAGATTTGACTAACTTTATTTTCAATTCAATTTATTTGACTGTAAGTGTAAAATTTATATATTTAAAAACTATATCAAAAGTTCTACAAAACAAGAGCTGACAAAACTATATTATTTTATCAAATAACTAACGAAAACAGCTAAGTAAAGTGATTAATGTTTGACCATGTAAATAGCAACAGCCAGGGAAGAGCGTTATAGGATGGAGGGAGTACTACTTGTTTTTATAGAAATTAGATCAGATTAAATTAGAAATAACTCTAAATATAACGACAACCATTTTAAAGAAAACCTTATCAGATCGGACCTCAATAAAATCAAATCTGATCCAATCATATAAAATGTGAAGAACAAGCTCTTACTCTTATTGATGAAGATATTGAAAATGAAGACATGAAGTTGATGAAGAGGTAGATAATCAGAGTCATTAGGTCTATTTTTTCATCCAATTTGGTATAAAATTTGGGGTATAAACCAACTTTTCAACACTAATAAATTTCATTCATAAAAGCTATCCCTTTCCCTTCAAATTTTTTCCAACAGTAATTAATTTATCCATACTCAAATGTGATCCACAATAAAACTATCAACAAAAGAAGAAAAAAAGACCCTTTTTCTTAAAAATCAAATTCGTATCCTAATACCTATCCTATTTCTTCATTTTTTTATTTAGAAATATTCAAAAAAGAAAAAACATCTACAATAAAATTATCAATTTACAAAATTGAAGACAATTCTAAATTAGCATACAAGTAAAAATTAACGTTCCAATCCATAATTAAAAGTCTAACTCGGGAAGAACGAATTGAAATGAAAACAATAAACAAATGCAAAGCCCACACGAAAAAAATAATATCGGCGGTGTAATTACCTAGATATGAAGAGAGGTTGGAGATAAATGCGGGACCGTTTGAGGTGGAAACGCTCACCCCGGGCGCTCCCACGCTCAGGCGCGACGGGATTGTGAGAAGGAAATCATGGGATAATCTCAATCCGGTTCTTAGATAGGTCGTCTTGTGCTCGGTGTGCATAATGAGCTATTGCAAACAATAAAACTCCCACACCGTTTGAGAAGTGGCAGGAGGAGTGCTGAAGCGGTGAGGAAAAGAACTAAGGTAGTGGACGATACGGTGCGAAGGGGCGATGAGTGGGATGTACAGTACATTAACGGGAGAAACAGAAAAAAAGGAACAATAAACGACGACATAATTTTTTTAACTCAAAGTTAACTAAACTTACGGATTGCAAATAACGTGGGTAGATGGATGGATTGAGGTCGGGACTGGATGATGGGTAGAACTATCAATTTTACAAACGGAACCGTAGGTATTCCAATTGGGATAGTATTCTCTATGGATTAGCCGTATATAATAAGAGTAGATATAAAAAAAATATTGCAGCAACATCAGCATGTTTCAATTGAGTAAATTCATTGTCCTATAAAAAATGATGCTTTACATCTCTATTAGGGGTGGATACTGGCCGATTCGGATATAATTTATTACAAACCCGAGCCCAGCTTGTTTTTATAGAAGCGGGACGAGTCGTTGACGATTTGAAGTTGGGAATGGTCCTTACCCGGCTTGTTTGAAACCGACCGATCCCACGGGCCCACAAGTCTAAGCATTACATTATTGAATACGGAGTACCTTATAATTCTTGTATAATTTAATCAATATTACTATTACCGGCCTATCCAGATCCTATGAAATTTAAAAGTTGAGAATATTGCTCTGTTTTGAAAATTGAAATATTGGACCAGGCCCTAACCCGCTTGTCTGCATTTCCAAGGCCTCTTTGCCCATCCCTAATTTCTATTAACATTACAAGTTATCCTTAAAAAAAACCATTCTGTTATTTCCATACTTGGTACTCCCACAGTCCCAAATTAAAAGACACATTTTGCTTTACAATATTTGAATAAAGTTATTTTCGCTTAATTTATGATACAATTAGGACGAATTAAAGAATAAAATTTATATATTTGAAAATTATATAAAAAATTCTACAAATGAAGTGATGACATGACTATTATCGTACTAAAAAATAAAATAGATAGAAAAATAGCATTTAACCTTGTAAATAGTGAACATGTTTTTCAGTTTGAGATACAGAGAATATTAAATAGGGAGTAATATTGAGGTCCATTTTTTAAGAATAAAAAGAGGAACTTGTTGGTTGGTGTTAACAAGTGTCTCTCAGTTGTACAACAAAAGAATTTGTGGACAAGTTAGAGAGTGGCACAATTTGCTAACAACCCACCCACAATAAGAGGGTGTTTGGCAGTGTGCTACTTTTAATAATTTAGTTTCTACTTTGAGTAAAAATAATTTCTCTGTTTGGCATGTCAGTTTCGACTTTTTACCACCACCATTTTGAAAAAGCAGGTATGGGATATTTCTGCTTTCAGCTTTTGTAGAAATCACTTTATCGATAAGTTAATCACTCCCAAACAATATCTAAAAGTCATCACTAATGTGAGTTGGTGAGGAATCCACCAGAGAAACTACTCAATTTCAAATACACCTATTGTTCTTTTTTTCACTTTTCTTTTCTAAATGTGTCGAAATGCTCTTTAACTCCCTTTTAAAGAAAGAATTATTTGGTTCACGCTAATTCTTTTTACGCAAATATTAAATACACAATTTCACACGTCAACTCTTTGTAAAAAGCAAATGAAAAGATTGGAGAAGATAGTACATTAGAATTAACAGGATGATGCTCTATGTAATATTCCCTTAGTCCTAATATGTTCTTCCAGTTTCTGTTTACGATGTTAAATAGTACATTATTTTTAATTTAATATATTTGGTTGTATGTGTAAAATTAAAAAATAAAATTTATTATTTTAAAATTGCATAAAAAATTCTACGAAAGAAGAGTTGACAAGACTATATTATTTTATCAAATAGCTAACGAAAATAAGTAAAGAAAGTAGTTAAAGTTTGACCGTGAGAATAATAATTAAGAAGAACATTTTAGGACGAAAGGAGTAATTAGTTATGCTCTTGGAATCGTAAGATTCGTATATGAAATGTGGACCTTCTCACATGCGGGGTATATTTCATTGGCTGCAGGTGGTCCTTTTCTTTTGGCAAAAGGGACAACACTTTCATAGTGTCAATGTAATAAAAGTTCATAAAATGAGTGTAGACTTTAAAACTACAAAAGATTTTACCTATAAAAAGTGATGTAACATGAGCTTTTCTATATGTTTTTATAAAGGCAGAGCCAAGTTGGTTTGGATTTGATGGAGGAAAAGTAAGCTGAGAAACTGGGAGTACTTACTTAGAATGTTGCTACTAGAATCCACCAAAAGTTAGGATGTTAAATGGTGAAAATAGAGATTTCATAGTTACAGAATTCAGAGGTGTAGAGTCCATCTTAATAACACCTACCTGGTAGTGGGGCCGCGGCCATTTTCTTTTTTCGTACCTGCAGAAGAGTTATGCTCTCTAATAATCTTCAGAACATGCAATAACGCCCTCAACCGGTCCCAAATGTTTATGCCATAGAGAGCTTCGACGAGAGAGACTTGAAACTCAAACCCGTTCTCTGCCACCGGATACTGTATATAATAAGACAGCAGTGAATTACTATTAGTTAGTAAAACTATAATAATTAGTTAATTACAAACCCGGTTTGGATTGGTTTCTGGACCCCGGGAATGGGATATCATCACCACGTTTGAGTTACTGAAATTGGGGGAATCACCATCTTCCAATACACAGCGGGTTTTGAGTAATTCTCGAGAGTTTAGTGGATTTTCAGAATCCGAAGGACCACAATGTGATTTTATATAATTCAATAATGACCATCAAGTAATCCAAACAAGCCTGAAAGGTGTGTAGTATAGCCCACCTGTATGGGTTTCGGGATCTTAGTTTTGATCAAAGGCCACCATCGATCTTCCACAACAGATTTGACCAGACAGCAACCCCTCAACCCTTCAATACCAGCAAATCTCCCAAATCCACTATCTTTCACACCGCCAAATGGTAATGACTGAATAATGAAAACCAGTGAGTTAACTTCTGAGCAGGAAATTCAATCCAGTGAAACTTTCAGTTCCCTATGACTTAAGGGCCCATCTGGAACCCCTAAAATGATATCTTCAGAAAATAGGGAGAAAAGTATATGAGGATTCAGAAGGAAAGCCGGGAGTTTGTTTTAGAGGTTGAATTTGAGGTTAGGCTGAGCTGGTCAAACAGTCGGAGTAAAGAGCTCCAATGTCGAGTTGTTAAGATGTAAGAGAGCTGTTGAATTTTATTAACAGCTCCAACAGCAAGAGCTGAAGCATACCGCCCCAAATGTGGAGGGAAATGTAAACTTGTTTCAAACTCAATGAATCAATTTTGGATAGATCTTTGTTCAAAATCATTTTATTGGTATACTTCTACTATACAAAGACTAAGAAAACTAATTATATGAAAAGGTTCACGAAGTTCAAATGTGATTCTCCTTCTTATTTTCCAAAGAAAAGCCAACGTAATAAATAATACCTGACACATGTAATTTGAAGCAAAGTCATTGATAGCAGCCACGCCACAATGTATTTGTGATGCTATTTGCTTAGCACGGCGCTGGCTTCCCGAAAAGACTGCACAGCCAAGCCCATACTTTGAATCATTTGCAAGCCTAATAGCTTCTTCATCCGAGCTGAATTTCATTATTGGCAAGATCGGTCCAAAAGTCTATATAGAAGAATAGTTACTTTAAACAATCATAATATTATTTAAAATATAACTGTATTCCTTTTCTTGGTGGTAAATACCTCCTCCTGCATCAATTTCATGGTGTGGTTCACATTAACAACCACAGTCGGGGGAAAGTACTGGTCAACAGCACCTTCACCAATATCTCTGACACTTCCTCTACCAGCAATTTCAGCACCATTTTCCAGGGCATCGTTCACTAGATTATGAAGCTTTTCAGAATGCTCTTGCATGCATATTGCTCCCATATCATACTTTCCGGCCAGAGGAGGACCCTGCAGTTTTCTTTCATTAATCAAACTAACCCATTAAAGATGAACACAAAGAAGAAAAAGATAAAAAAGTTCCATTAATTAATCAAATATTCAAATTTAGTGGAAAATTGCCCTTTTCTTGACGCGGGCAAGCAACGAGTATATTGGAGAAACAAACTTACTGCAGTAACAGATTTGACGATTTTCACTACTTCAGCAACAAAAGATGAATATATGTTTTTATGTACATAAAAGCGTTCTGCTCCAGCACAGTTCTGCCCGCTTGACTGTAAAGCTGCCCTAGCAGCTACTTGAGCAACCTGCATAGTAAATATTTAAAAAGATGATCTTCAGCAAATGGATAAGCAAACTGATACTCTGTATTGTTTAATCCAACAACCACCAAGTCTAAAAAGTATGACAAAGAGTAGAAATGCATACATGAGGCACATCAACATCTTCACAGACAATAAATGCATCTTTTCCACCGAGTTCCAGTGTAACTGGTATCAGTTTATTTGCTGCATTGCTCATAATCTGCATGAGTAAAATTAAAATTTGAGCAATGAAAATTTAGTCAATCACATCTCCCCCGTCCCCTGATCGGTTAATCCTTTGGTTGGTTCAAAAGAGAGGAGAGGACAGAAGAAATGGAGGGTGGACTATGGGATGGGAGGGTGATAGAAGAGATTGAAAAGATGTTATCTTTGGTTCAATTGAGGAAAGGAATGAATAGGGATTTCTATACATTAGAAAATACATAACACATACGGACTGAGTGCCTCCATACTCTCTCAGTAGGAGTAAGGTCTGCATACACTCATCCTCCCCGACCCCGCCAAGTGGGGTTTTACTGGGACTGTTGTTGTACATAACAAATACGAAGTATTATATTTGATTTTTTTTGTAATTTAAAATATTGTGATCCATTTGTACAAAAACCATAATGCCGAACAATTTTGATAATTAACAAGTGAAAAATATTGAGAAAAAGGAATAACGCCTCCAACATACTTTTTTTGGGGGCAGGGGGTTGAAAAACTTAGAAAAGTCTATAACTCCCCCAACCAAACCCAAAACATCCATACACCTCAAAGCTCTCCGACCAAACAGGGTTTAGTAGAATTGCATATCCACATAAAACAAGTCCAGATACTTACAAGAAAACAATAGTAAAAAATACTCCCTCCGTCCCATAAAATTCTTTTCACTTTCATTTGGGGGGTGGGAGTTGAAAAACTTAGAAAAGCCTATAACTTCCTCAACCAAACCCACAACACCCCTTCACCACAAAGCTGTCAGACCAAACAATGGTTTAGTGGAACTGAATATCCAAATAAAAGTAGTATAATACAACTCCAGATACTTACAAGAAAGCAATAACACTCCGTAAAAAATACTCCCTCCTTCCCATAAAAGTCTTTACACTTTCATTTTCCAGACGTCCTAAAAATACTTCACATTTACTTTATTTCCTATTTCAGTACTGAATATATGGCTCACATTAGTTCTCTCTCATCCAAACAAATTCTAACCATACACTATTTACTTTTGAACACTTTTCTTAAACTCTTTGAAGTCAAATTTTAAAGAATTTTATGGGACAGATGTAGTAGGTCCCCAACCCAAACCCACAACATGCCCATAACTCCTACTCCTCCAATAATATAACTCCCCCAACCAAACCCACAACACCCCTTCAGGCCTTCACTTCAACGCCCTTAGACCACACAAGAGTTTTGTGGTATTGGATAATCCAAAAAAAAAACTCCTTGTACTATCAAGAAAACAATAATAAAAAATAGGTCGTGTAGGAAATTTATCTAGCTTTAAAAGGGCCATACCGATCTGCCCACTTCTGGTGATCCAACAAATATAACCTTGTCAACAGAACTAACAAGTGCTTTTCCAGTTTCAGCAAAGCTGGGAAGAAAAAGTTGGTTAATAGTGATATAGAGCAACAAAATTTGAGAATCATGGCAATCAAATAAATGTGTACCCTGTTATTATATCAACCAAGTTTTCAGGAGCTCCAACAGCAGCAAGAGCTGTTTGTATTATCCGTAGATAGAAGCATCCAGACCAACTAGCATGTTCAGAGACCTAGAATAAACATCAAGTGTGTCTTTGTCAGGAAGGGGAATTCAATATTGATGCATACATAGATACCAGTGTCTATGAATGAAAAAGTATTAATTCAATGAAAATTCTTCATAAATGAAGTACCTTGATCACAATGCCATTCCCTGAGAAGACTGCAGCCAACATTGGATTGAATATATTGTGAAATGGATAATTCCACGAAACAATTGCTCCAATAACACCAAGGGGGTGGAACTCCACTCTGGCTTTCTTGTGAAGCATTGATCTTCCAGTTGAGCTGCAAAGCACAAAGTACAAACTCTTAAAAGCCACTGACCCTGCTAGTCGAACATTTCTTGAAAAAGTGAATGATAAAAATGATTGCTGGAACTGAAACATCTACTCGTAGTAGAAATAGAATAATGATGGATCATAATGTCTAAATGTCAAATCTCTTCTTATCAGCAGCACTTGCTGCATGCAACAAATAAACAGAATCCCTAAAAATGTAAACTCCATATTCAAGGAGTGGTTGAGCATCAGTTAGCACAAAAATAGAAAAACTAGAATGCTCAAAATGAGTAAATGGTTCAAACAGAAACTTTATTGGGCCAACCAGACAAGGAAACCAAATATTAATAATTTACTAAAAAAGAAGAAAGAAATTGAATAACTGAATTATTGAAGAAGATAAGAGCAAGCATACCGGTACTCAGGCTTTAACCATTTTTCACCCTCTGAAAGAAGCCAAGTGATTTTTTCACAAGTTGTCATTATTTCTCCCAATGAAGCATCAACCATTGTCTTTCCAGTATCACGTGAGGAAATTCTGATATAAATATCAAAAACTTAGATCTACACCTGAACTAGAATAATAGGCCTATACCTCTAGGCTCTAATACTATATTCTGATAAGGCCCAGATATTTAGCAAATGATTTAGTGCATCAAACAGTCAAACAGCATTGAATGTATAATCCTTGGTGCAAAGCTGCCCATTATGCTGGAACTCCTGGTGTAAAACAGGCAAACAGCTATAACAGCATACTACAAAATCAAGAAATAAATGAAAATTACCTGCTCCACTCAATTTTAAAGGTGGGATCAATCAGAGAGAAAAAAACGGAGTATCATATTATAAACCTCTTGAATTAACAGCACACAATTCCAGGAGTTCATTACTGACATTGTGAATCATGTCTAGTTGGGATTCACAAACATTTTTTCCAGTTAAATCTTATGTGCTCTAATGTTTCCCATTTTTTCATTTACCACTTTTTAAAATATTCTCAAAAACTTCAGCATTCAATCATATTATCATGTACACAGGACAAATCATTTTTACTGAGTGTATCTATAAAAAAAGCCAGTTCGGATTTAGAACCTTACTTGCATATTAGCTCTTGATGTTCAAGTATATACTTCAGGAGGATACGTAGAAACTGTCTCCTTTGCTTAAAGCTACTCTTTGACCATAGCTTTTGAGCCTTCCTAGCTTCTTCTACACGTTCCTTAACCTGTGCAAATAGTGATACATGGTTATCAGTTGCATTCACAGGTATCATTGCAAGAAAAAAAATCTCTATAGAGCCCCGCAATTAGAAGTTCCAGGTTTTACATGAAAAATTGGCACAGCAACGCGAACATAATAATCAGATTCAAGAACCATTACTGTACATAAATAATTAGATGAGAAGGAAGGCAAATATGATGTCAGGAAAAGTATTTATCAGAAACAAAAAGAGAAGGATAATTATATTAGTAAAAGTCCCTAACCTCATCAGGCTTGAACGCTGAATGGAAGCCTAGGTACTTCATAGTTGCTGGCTCATAGCACTGGACTTTGTCAGTTTGTCTTCTTGAAGGTATCTACAGAACAATGACATTTAACATCTGAGGAAATTTGTCTCAGTATGATTCAGCTTCTAAATATTACTAAGTTGCATATGAAGGATCAAGAATAGGGAGAGCATTGAGGCTTGGAAAACAATGACAAATCAGAAGTCTTAACTAACATACATCCAGTTTGTTGTAATGGAAGATTATAAAAAGCATAAGTTTAATTTGCTGAAGAAACAAATAGAGAAGATAAAGGAAATGAAAGACCAAAGTTTACATCCTTCTCATTCAGCATGTCTATTTGATAAACTATTTATCAGAAAAACAAATTGGGAAAAAGAACAAAGATGATTGGACAACCGGAAGCAGAGCAAAGTCACACACAATTTCAAATCACACACAGATAGATGCAGCATCTCAAATCTCAAGTTCATGAGCACTGGATACTCACGTATATGAAGCTATTCTCCTTTGTGCAATTCCCGTCTTCCAACACTGTAGACATCGAAAACGCGAGATTTCAAACTCATACTACACTAACACTAAATGAATCAAACTAGCATTTACTCTAACAACTTGCATGCACTAATAGAGAGAGAGAGGGGGAGACCGTCAGATGTGTCGACGGCGATGGAGGGGACGTTGGGAGGGATGAGCATGAGGAGGAGTCGGCAGATCGCGAAAGCGAAGGCGAGAACGATGAGCGGCCACCAGAATGCCATGATTCCGATGCTGTAGAGGATTCAGAAATGAGCAGAAAAAGGCCTCGATTGTTCACTCCGCCATACGTTCGCCACTAGTTCCGGCGAATCTGCGGTGGATGAAGATGAGGTGATGAACTCTCTCAGCGGAGAGCACTTTCATTTCATAGTCACGCAGCTAAGCACCGCTATTCTGTTCTTTTAGTATACGCTGGCCAGGAATTCAACTGGTATGATTCTTCTTACCGTATCGAAAGTGGAAGAGAGTCTGAGGGAAAACGAGGGATTTGTTGGGATGGTAAGAGACTTCTTCTATTCTCGATAGGGATAAATATGACAAAAGTCTAACCATTATTTACACCAAGGTATTTTTTGAACATTAATAAGTGTGATATAACTTAATTAATATAAATTTATACATTTACAATTTATTAAAGCATATAAACTTACTATTTTTATTGAGGTCTGAATTTATGGTATTTTATTTAGATTAAAATATGTTATCTTTGATAAATGAAATCAGAGTCTAAGAGATCATTAGAGACATAATGACAAGTGTGTCAGTATGAATAAGTCATTTTTCATTGAAATTACTTAAAGCAATGGTGACATCAGCAACTGCGCTGGACGAAGAGTTGTTCCCAAATGAACAAGTATTGTCCTTTAGAAAATGCTAAAGCTTTCGACAAAAACAAATATCGTAGCTTGGATATTCAAAGAACTGACGTCAATGTGGGGAGTGACCACCATGAGACTTCTCATGGGGGAATTGCCACCTTGATGATATGTCACCAAGCCACGGCGTTTGCTCTACTAATACCTATACGGGAAACTACCACAATCTATAGCATTGTGAGACTGCTTGTTGATGTTGAAGCCTCCATTGTGACTATCACCGTCATGTGTGGAATTGCCACTTAGAATGGTACCACCATTCACCAAATCATGATCCCTGGTTTGTCATTCACAATTCGTTAGAATATTTGATAATTCAATGAGAGAAACAAAATTATCACAACGATGCAGGGATTGATAGATAACAGATTATTCATCCTTTCGTTAGATCCTAACTACCCTTGAGTTCACATACTCACAACAATTATAATTAATGATCATGTGACACATGAGGTTTTGCATGTGCTAGGTAAAAGCTTCACTTCTTATCAATCATTGTGAAATTATAGCTTTATTTTTTCCACAACCCACTGTCATGGCTTATATTAGAGGATCATGCATGTGGGTTGAGGTCCGATCTTTTACGAAATAGGGAGTAGTTAACCCAAGAGTTACAGAGGTATACTCCCTCCGTCCCAAAAAGTCTTTCTTGTTTACTATTACGACATCTCGATAACTCTAATTTGTTTGCGTGTTTTCATTAATCATTTCACAAAATAAAATATTCTTGTCACCTCTTATCTTGTAGAGTTTTCGATGTAGTTTTTAAATATAATTTTTTTATGTCTTATTTCCTTACGAATTTGCAAATAAAATCATTTTAAAATCCACGGGGTTTTGCATGTTAATCAAAGTAGGAAATTCTTTTTGGGACGGAGGAAGTATATTTTTTGGAATCGCTTATATATTAAAAGAAAATTTTAGAACTGAAAAGTGTAGGTGTATTTAGTTTTAATGTTTTAAAAGTCATACAAATTTAGGTGTATTCAATTAGGCTTTAAATAAATTATTAAGAATTTTATAAAAATTTAGATTTTTTTTTATACTTATAAAATAAATAGAAAGTTAGAAATATTTAAAACACGTGAAATAGAAGAAATCATTCATATTTCTAAACTTTTTGATAGACTCCAATCGTGACTTTTCCAATACCTTCGTATGCATATCTGTAAACTAGTGTAAAGTATGAACATGGTGTGTGCGAATCACACACTCACACCTCGAAAGAAGCTCGTCACGAACAAAATAACAGTCTGTTTCAGTATGTTTTGTGCCTTCATAGAAAACTTGATTAGCTGCAATATGTAGTGTAGTTGTGCTATCACAATGAATAGACATAGGATCCGTGTGCAAAATCCATAGGTCTGTTACGGCCAGACCATTAGGCGCACCAATAGATCGCAATTATCATTTGGCTCGTTCCCAAGCCCCGGTTCTTAATGATCCGGAACCCTATCGATGTCTAGTGGGGCGTCTGGTTTGTTTGTCTGTCACTCGCCCGAAGTTGTCCTATGATGTGCATACTTTGGGCAATTTTTGAAGGAACCACGAGAGGATCAATGAACCACTGACCTTGGAGTTTTTCGGTAATTGAAAGGGTGTCCAAGTCGTGGTATTCTCCAATCTGCATATAGTAATCTACAACTTACTGAGTGGTGCGATTTTGATTGGGTTGTGTGCCCTCTTGTCTTACGAGGCGTACTTTACTGGATGGTTTGTTCAGTTCGAGAATTCACCTATTTCTTGGAAGACAAAAAAAGTAAATGACAATTGTACGATCGTCTGCTAGGAGAACAATTCTCAAGTTCCTCCTTCACAAAAAAAAGAACATTCCCTCAAAAGATGCTCAAGTTCCTCCTATAAAAGGAGAACAATCTTCATAAATTTCTGGAGGCCAATTTCCTCCCTTATTCCCCTTCCAAAATCGTGTATCGTGTACAACCCTCGATATCAATAAAAGTCTCCCGTTGGCAAGGTACCGCCAAAAAAGGCCCATGGTTTTCTCCCGATTGGGTTTCCACGTCAGAATTCTTATGTTTACATTTTGGTGTATTTTGTTACACTAGTTTATTGTTCTTGCTCGGCTAAGAACGATATTCCAACTGATATAATTTACACCATCATTTTTTACGCCACCCGTGGGACCCAAACAAAAGGTTGTGTCCGACTATCTTCCCCGACCTAACAATCACATCGGCCGAAGCATAAAAAAGGGGGAGGGGGGTCTCTAAATTTCTTTGATCCCTGGCTATTTTTCAGTTTTGGGGTGGACAATTTACTTCTCCGAGCGCTGCCGGGAATGACCAATTCTCACACAGAATTGCAGAACATCTTTCATAGAAGATCCGGTCGTTGTGGATACAGTATGGGTGCGATGACCTTCTATGTATTTCGGAGATTTTTTGTTCTTTTGCTTAGTTTTATTTTAACTTTCATTTTTACAATCTTTTAATTTACTTTCAGAAATAATAGTTTTTTTAAATTAGTTTTTAAAAAAAGAAGGGAGAAGAAACCGGCAACTTTTTTTTAAGAAAAAATGTAACAAAAGGTCAAATTGAAGCTCAAGTTTGAAAGGAAGAAATTGATTTTGGGCCGAAGCCCAAACCAACATTAAAGAATCAGCTCAACACATCTCTCTCCCCAACTTGATTTCATGTTTACGCACAAAGGAAAAAAAAAGAACGGAGAAGAAACCGGCAACTTCTTTGCGTAAAACCCGAGACCATCTTCTTCAACGCACCAACGTTCCTCCATTAATTTCACTCAATTAAAGCTCCAACGGAAAGGCTCTAACGGGAAAATCTCCTTCGGCTATAAATTAGAGCACCATCTACTCAAAGGGAGGAGGGGATTCCACAACAAGGTCACTGAGCAGCGGCTTGGCCGCTACAATGGCGGCAGTGACGGATGGCCGGCAGACGCGAACCGGCGGCGGCAGAAGCTCCGGCGAGTGGTGGGCAGTCTTCTTCAACCTCCAATTTCTTCAATTTCATCTTCTTCTTCATCAATTTGGTAACCTATACTCCTTTGTCAATTTCTTTTTCTTCTCCAATTTCTTAGTAAAAGTGTTGCCTCAATCTAAGGGGGTGTATTGAATCAAGAGTTTGTGTGCTTTTTTCAGATTTTAAAAGTTAATAAGTATTCAATTGAGATTTTTAAAAGTCATTCAAAATCTGAAGATGTTGAATTTAGATTTTAAAATGTCTGTTAAAATCTTATGCCTTATGGTATTTAATAATTTATAGATTTTGAAAGTTTCTTATTATTTGTGGATTTTGATGGATTTTAGAGTTGTTTTTATAAAGAAAATTTATTTCACAAATCTGTAGCAACGTGCAAATATTTTGACTGATTTGGAATTGAAGCTGAAGCAAATAAAGAAAAGGAGTCGGGAGATCTGAAAGTCTGAACTCAAAAGTAGACATAGGGAGACACGCCGGCAGGGATGGAGACGCCGGCGTGGATGGTGACGGGGAAGCCAGAAGGTATAAAAAAGTTGCATACAATTCTCTTGGTTGCGTGGTAGGCCATTGCAATTTCTGTGTTCATAGCTATGCCCAAACATAGACGCGTCGGCAGGGACGGAGATGACGGCGGGCGTGGTGACTGGGAAGAACAAGGGGGAAGGAGGAGAAAGAACAAGTGGCATAGATCTATCGGGAGGAAGAGGAGGAAGAAAAAAAGAAAGAAAAAAAGGAGAAAGAAGAAGAGGGATAGGTTGGCAGGGGAGAAAGGTGGAGAAGAAGAAGGGAGGAAGAGGAGGAAGAAAAAGAAAGAAAGAAGAAAAAGAGAGAGAAGAAGAAAAGAAAAAAGAAGGAACGATGAGAGGAGGATGAAAATGAGTCGGGCAGAGAACAAGAGTAAGAAAGGAGAATGAAGGAAGAAAAACAATCTTAAACAATTCTATAAAAAATTTTTGAAAAATATATTAAAATCTATCTAACTCTATATAGAATTTTATGGGTTTTTTTAATATTTATATTAAATCCCTTATTAATGAGAATTGATTCAAACTCATTTTTCTTCAATTATTGAGCAAGTTGTTGTTGAATTGCATAATTCAATTTCGTAAGTAGGTTGATATGTGGAATTCAGTTTTTTTTGAAGCTATTTTAGCTCCATAAGGTAGTTAAATGAACTCTGGATTCATACGTGATTCTTTGTTGTAATTTGTGTTTGTTGATTTTAAAGATTTTGGACTTTTTAGCTCCATAAGTTGATTTATTATTCTTAGAATTCGTTATTGAGTGATAGTGTATGTTTTCATGTGCTTCTTTGTTATTTTCATTAATTTGAAGTTGTTTAAGCTCAAAAACAATTCTCAATTTAGTGAAAATATGTTGTGTTCATTTTTGTGAATAGAAAAAACGTCATTGGTTTGAGAAATTCATAGAAATCTGTGAAATGTGCTCATCATTAAGAGAAAAAGTTTGTTAAAATGCATAAGGTATTGACGGTTTGTGAATAGAATATCTCTTTTGTAAACTTTTTCTATATTGGAAGTATGTTTTCATGCTTGAATAGAGAGTTGGGGTTCAAAGGTATATTTCAAAACGGGCATTTGAATTACATGACTCCAGACCGTGTGGAGAGTTGACAATCCTCCATATCGTGGTTAAGGAAATGAATCGACTTGGCCTTTGATGATTTTTCTTATTTTTAAGTGCGTAAGTTACGTAATATATTGTCTACGTGTCTATAATACGTGTAATGTTTGACTTGTGTTTGTTCTCTTTTTTATTTTGTTTCGGGTTCTTGGTGGTGTTTTTTGGGTTACCTTAGTTGGAGAAGTTGAGTATCTTTAGAGCTTATTTTCCCTCGTTTTATTAAAAAAATAAGAAAAATAAAAAACCAAAAAATATTTAATTTTCATCCAACAACCCCCTCCCCTTTCCTTTTGGTTTTTATTTTCTAAGTTATATTATAAGTGTTTGTTCATAAGTTATAAATATAAGTTTTTATACTTTTTTTTAGTATATTCTAAGTATGTGTTTTATGTTTAAAAGTTATGTTATAAGTTCTTCGTGTATAAGTTATATTTATAAGTTTTTATATTTATTTAGTTATAAGTTTTATTATAAGTTTTATACTTTTTATCATATGTGTAGTAGTTAATTTTATTTTTTAGTGACAACGTGTTTGCATGCTTAATTAGCTTAAAAAAATACAAACTTTCTCTGTGGGATCGACCCTTACTTGCCCTAGCTATAGTTTTTATTTGATTAAATCTTGTGAATTAGTTAAGGTTATTTATAAATTTTTAATTTGTTTTGGACCGTACGACGGGTCTTCAACAACGCCCATAAAAAAGAAGGATCGCTCATCGCACTGGTTCTTAAACTGGTTATTATCAGTACCCCCATTCTCAGGGAAGACATGACCGGGCAAAGGATCACGTCCCTAACCTTGGGATAGTAATATATAAGGGGGCATAAAAGACTTAATCACCTGGAAGAAGGGGGCATTTTGGGTTTTGGAGAGGGCTCGAAACCATATGACATGTTTAATTCTCCAATGTTGATCTGGCCTGGCAAGCAGCATTAACAAGAAAAAATTTGAGCCAAGTCGAATAGGGTACACCGATCTCACTTCGGTTTCAGTAAATCTTAGAGAAAGACTGAAACACAGGCCCGACTTGGCACACTGGTTACTACACCAGTCTTGCTCAGTATAATAAATAAAATAAAATACGTGACACAGGCCCGCCCTAGCACGTTGGTAAAAATAATTCTTGTTCAACTCCAGGCCAAGAATGATACACACTGTTCTTGCACATATTTTCTGGTATTTAAGTCTGAACCCAATCGAATTGGGTACACAGGTGTTTAGTTGAGCTCGTATCGGGGATGCCCGATTCGTCAAGCCTTTTCTGTGAGGCACTGTGAAGACGGTCCCTGCATGGCGTGACAATACTTACATCAGTTAGCCGTGCTAACATCGATCTTGGACAAAGTCGATGCAGCGTACTTAATTCGTATTAAGTAACGTTGATCTCTTCGATATACTAATTTCACTATGCATCGTTTACTTGATTCGTACTAACATCGGTCTTGGTGAAATAATAACTTTTCGAGGCATCGTTGCCTCGTCGTACTAACTCTGGTCTCGTATAACTTTTCGAAGCATCGTTGCTTCACCGAACTAACATCACTCTCGTTATGATGATTATTCGCACGTGTTCTAACACCGAGCTCTTCAGTAAAAATAATATGCTTGGGCATGTCATTGGCCGATCGAGAAAAAAAAGTTATACACATTAATTTTTACAAGAAAAACAGCTCGTTCGAAGTCAGAAAATTAATGCAAAAGTCGAAGGACTAGCTATATCAACTGGTAAAAAGCAATGTATGAAGACTGAAGATAGTACTAAGAGGATTTATTTACTTTTTTAAGTTGATGATTCTCACAATTTAAAAAAGTAGAGAACTTCTTGATGAGAAATAATATGTGGCTCGGTCTACATTTTTCAATTATTTATGAAGAACAATCAAACCGGCATGTTTAGTACTCCGTAGAATGGAAGAATAAAAGAATATTCTCTAAAAAATACTCAAGTTCAACAATCTTCACAAATTCTAGGAGGCCAATTTCCTCCCTTATTCCCATGCCCACTCTCTCTAGATTTCATGTATTTTATTTCTTCAAATAAGCTTCAAACTTCCATCAATAGCTTCCGAGCTCTAATTGTGTATCATATATAACCTCTGATATTAATAAAAGTCCTCGTTTGCAAGGTTCGCCAAAAAAACCCGTAGTTTTCTCCCGATTCAGTTTCTACGTCAAAATTTTTATTTTTTATTTCTATACCAATATGTAAATAAAATAAATTGAAAAAATTTAATATTTTGTCTTAGAAATACACAATACGAAAATGTGAGTTGTCAAACGTTTCTACCCTTCCCACCAAACGCAATCACACACGTGCACCCCCACTATAGCTTGGAGCATTTGCGGAAGAATTCTCCATCATCATCCATTTCCGGACTCTGCAATTCCATCTGCTCCCGGTAGAGATTCTTGACCCGACCCGCGATAAAAACATAAAGAAAAGGTGAACCCACCCAATAGTTGGGAGGGGTAGGAATTGAAGAGATGGGAGGGGAAAGGGTGGTGGGAGTGGCGGTGGATTTCTCAGCGTGCAGCAAGAAGGCTCTGAAATGGGGGGTGGAGAACCTGCTCCGGAAAGGGGATCACCTCGTTCTCGTAACTGTTCGCCCCCATGGCTACTACGAGGAAGGCGAGATGCAGCTCTGGGAGACCACCGGATCTCGTATGTGATCTCTGTCTCTCTCTGTAGGAATATAGATCTTGTTGTGTTCTTGATTGGATCTATGTGATTGATGGACCGTCTTATGTATTCGAGCATGTTCATGAATTCTTCTTGGGAAATTGAGGACTTTTCTCTTCAACGTATCTGATTAGTTTTGATCTGATTCGAATAAGTTCTGATCTAATCTAATTGGAGATTTGGAGTTATATTTAAATTTGTTTTTGATATGATCAAATTTCAATAAGGGTCCGTTTGGTACACGGAATTGATGGAATTGGAATTAAATTTCCATGGGATTCAATTCCATAGAATTGAATTCACCAATTCCAATTCATTTTTTGCACTACCAATTTCAAATCCACATAATTTTTGTGCTACCAAACATAAGAATTAGAATTCAAGTCCTCAATTCCAATTCCATAGTTTGAATTCCGTGTATCAAACAGGGCCTAAGAGTAGGTAGCAAGTAAAAAGAAACATGATGCCTGTGTAATTTTGATCAAAGGCCATTGATCTATTGTGATCTTCATTGATATCCATTTTCAATGGAGTTAGATGAGTCATTTTCCACAATTCTTATTAGCTTTACCTGAATAATGAACTAAATCAAAATGACACATTAAACTTCCCTTGCTTGAGTTGCTTCTTTTTTTATCCGAATTCAATGATGTTTTGGGTAGTAAGTTCAGCAATGCATCAAGGGTCTAATGGAAACAGTCTCTCTGTTTATATTGGGGAAAGACGGTGTAATCCACAGACCCTAAAGGGGCTGGAAATAAACTGGGTTTGTTCTTGTTGTAGATCACGATAGATCATTGTCGACTAGTGTTAACTGGCTTTAGACCATCAACGTTGGTTTGGTTGCTATTTTTATGTTTTTGTGTACCTAAGGTCTTTTGTAAACATACCTTTATAGGCAAGGGCGGGTATACATATTCCCACCCTCCTCAAACCTCGCTTGTGGGACCTTATTGGGTTACTGTTGTTTTTATTGTAATACCATTTGGTAAAGGGTATCGTAACATCCATTTCCACCACAGAAGTTAAAATCTGCCAAAATTTAATGCCAAATGGAGTATAAAATAACCATATAAGTTTCATTTGACACCAACATAGTTGGGATTAAGGTGGTGACAATGATGGGATCTTTATAGTCATATTCCATATTCCTTTAAGTGGATTTTATGTATCTATTAAGCCATTCTTTTTTTCACACAAAAAAAAACAGCTCTGATTCCTCTTGCTGAATTGAGCGACTCACATACTATGAGCAAATACGGAGTCAGTCCAGATGCAGAAACGTTGGACATCGTCACCACTGCAGCAAGGGAGAAAGAGGTAATTTTTCTTCTCCCAGTCTCATTCTTGTTCATGAAGCTATTCTAACCATAGAATATCATTTTATTATGTAAAAACAGATTGTTGTCGTGATGAAAATATTTTGGGGTGATGCCCGAGAGAAACTGTGCGAAGCAGTGGACAACGTTTTTCTCAGCTCTCTTGTTGTTGGGAATAGAGGACTCGGCACACTCAAAAGGTTTGTGATAGCCTAATAGGTTTTAATAAGTTAGAAAGGATTTTGTGCTTTTCACCTTTGCAACAACTTTTTGTTGCTACATCTGTGTCTGGGATTCTGTGTTTTGATGGAAACACTGAAATCAAACAAAGCTTATGTGCCTGTTTGGCAACAACTTCAGCATTTTGAAAATACCATCTTATCGAAGCATATAGCTTTAAGGTTTACATAGTTAATCGGCATCATTAAAAAAAGAACCCAAAATGCCCTTGTGCTTAGATTAGAAATGCATGTTTGGCATGTTGATCCCAATCAAAATGGTGATGCAAAATAAGCTATTGACAGAGGCTACCGGAAAGTTCACTTGTTCTGTGCTGTACCCTTTTTGTCATGGCAGGGCTATAATGGGAAGTGTGAGTAACTATGTGGTGAACAATGCTGCTTGCCCAGTTACCATTGTGAAGAGTTCTGTGAATGAATGATATACTTTGAAGATCAATGTTCCTAGACAGGTTGTGTGTTGAGATTCATGACCATATTCGCGTTGTACCGCTACCCTTAATTAAATACAGAGCAACTTCCATGTATCTTGTCTTGTTAGAATGTGTTTGTTAAATATATGTAATCATCTCCTGGGTTTGTGTCAAATATGTAACTGTATGATATGAGTGATGATGGAATAAAATGTTCTCTATTTTCAATAAATCATTTGGCTATGTTCAATATGGAAGTGGGGATTTGGTTGAGGTAAGATATTTGAAATGAGATCAAAACCTTACTGAGCAAAAAAGGTTGCAAAAGGCATTCACATAAGGTGTTGGTTCTTTGGCAAAACCTTTCAAGTTAGTCTTTGAAATATACTACTTTCGGCTCTGAGTATTTGCCAAATTCTGATTTTTTGCCATAAAAATTGGCGAACTTTGGCCACTAATTAAATAAAATTAATATTAGATATTTATACGATAATAATACCATTCGATTTGTTTTATGTAGTATTTTCAAAACAATGTTTTATCTAATCAATATACTCCCTCCTTGAAAATGCTTCATGTTTTGACTTTTTTGATCAAACAATGATTTTTTTACCACAAATTAAGCATAATCTAAATAAATAAATATTGTATAATTAGATATATCAAAACTATATCCTAAAATGAATTCAATTATATTAATTTATATTATAGTATTTAAAATACTTTTATCATAATTTATAATCAAATAATGTGATTGTTTGACCAAAAAAGTCAAAATAGGTAGAGTTTTCAGAGACAGATGGAGTATTTCATAAATTTAATTATAGATCAAAGATAATAAATGATTGAATGTAAAAAATTAAAATTGGACAAATAATAAAAAATAGAGCCACACGCCAATCTATCAAAGCACAAAGAATACAAGTGGCACATGATATATAGAAATCACTCTAAATAGGACTAAAACATAGAGAAAAGTATTCTCTCCGTCCTAAAATTATCTTCACAGTTACTATTCACACGGTCAAACTTAAATCACTTTCTTTACCTATTTCATTAGTTATTTGATAAAATAATATAGTTTTGTCACATCTTGTTTTGTAGAACTTTTGATATAATTTTTAAATATATAAATTTTATTTTCTAATTTTACACCTACAATCAAATAAATTAAATTGAAAATAAATTCGGTCAAACTGCGTAAACACAAACGGGAAGACGATTTTAGGACAGAGGGAGTATCAAAATAGGACTTTCATGTTTTTTTTCGAAATAAGACTTTGCACTGTGGTAATGTGGTTGTAATGTGGCACTGTACATGTGCACATTACTATATTTTTTGGTAATGTACATTATCATGGTAATGTAAATGCATTTTAAGTCCTATTTCGGGAATAAAAACATGAAAGTCCTATTTTGATATATTTTCAATGTTTTAGTCCTACTTTAGTCTTTCTCCCCATGATATATGATTCAAAGCTTATACTCCGTAATTAATACGTGAAGCACTCAAGGGTTGTTCGGGTGATTGTTCCCACTACTCCGTCTGTCTGAAAATGGTCTTCACATTTGACTTTTATTGATCAAAGTTTGTAAATTTTGACTCCAATTTATGAAAAAAATATACTCCGTATTCTATTATGATATAAATGTAATATCGATATATTTCTAATGAAACGTAGTTTTCAAAATTTCAAATTTTTATAACGTGAAATTTGCAGTGAATACGACTAACATAAGTCATTTCCCAATGTAGGACTTAAACTTTTTTATTCCCTAAATAGGACTAAATAATGACTAGTGAGAAGAATAATGTCCAAATGATGCTGGACATTTAGTTGAATAATGACTAATAGATAATGACCAATGGTCCTACATTGAGAAATAAAAACATATGGTTCTATTTTGAGAAAGTCATTATGTCTTAGTCCTATTTTGTAAATTACCCTTTTATGCACAATTTAACGTAATCTTTTATTATTTGGAAACTTTTTTTCTTTAAGTCTAATTTAAAATCATAAATTTTTTGTTGTTTCTAACTTCTACACTATAAAAAATGCATTTATTATGTTTTTAATTTTCGAAATTATCTTCTACCCACACTATAAATTTTCTAAACTCGTTCTTAAAAGACCCTATTTTTTCAAATGATGTACTTATAAATTACGGATTATAAAATTAAATTATACGGAGTAAAATATTGCAAAACCTCACGGTTCTTTTTCATTTAGGGTCTGTTTGGTATACGGAATTGATGGAATTGGAAATGAATTGAAATTGAAATTCTATGAGATTCAATTCCATAGAATTAAATTCATCAATTCCAATTCATTTTTTGCAGTACCAATTCTAAATTCACATAATTTTTGTGCTACCAAGCACAAGAATTGGAATTGAAGTCCTCAATTCCACTTTCATAGTTTGAATTCCGTGTACCAAACGGAGCCTTAGTAAAAATGTAAACCATAATTTGAGAAAGGCATTAAACAATGCCAAACAATCCATTAGACAATAATGTAAAAAAATAAAACAAATTTTTTAAGCATATTTCTTATTTTACTTCATTTTTATTTTTGAGGTTCTCCTATTTTCAATACCCACACCCCATTTCAAGGGTCTCTCTTTGAATTCCCCATTGACACCCACACAAACTTTCCAAATCTCTTCTCCCCATTTCTCTCCAAAGTCCAACCCCCCACCATTTTCCCCCCTTTGTACAAACCCAAACTTCTAACACCATGAAATCTCACATCCTCCAAAGGGTAATAATGATGATAATCTTCATCCTCTTCGTCGCCTCGGACCCGTCATTGCTCGTGCACTCGGAGAAAATCATCCACCCCGTCCTGAGAGGGAAAAAGTATGCCGACAACGACGGGAAGGGAGGCGACGGGGGAGGCAATGCAAGTCTTAAGAAGATATGCGAAGCGACGGAAGACGCGAAGCTGTGCGTCTCCACGATCTCCCCGCTCCTGAAACGCCGCGGCGGAGCAGCCACCGTGCAGGCGGTTCTGGAGGCGGGGATCAACGCGAGCTACGAGCTCGCAAAGGTCGGGAGCGCCATGGCGAAGAAGCTCGCCATGGGGCCCACCGGGGGCTCCGGAGTAAAGGATTGCCAGGGGAGCTTCGACGACGCGTTGTACAACATCAACCAGACGATCGAGGCCCTGAAGAGCCATGACGTCGGGACCATGAACTCAATGCTCAGCGCTGTCGTGTCTGATATGAGCGACTGCGACTCCTCGCTCGCCGGAAATGGCTCTCCGTTGACGAAGCTCGGGGACAAGCTCGCTAACGTCACTAGCATCTGTCTTGGCATCGTTTCCCAAATGGAGGGATAATAATAGAGACGTTCTCTCCGTCCTTAAAAGATTCTCTTCTTTCTTTTTAGTTGTGTCAAAAAAGTTTTTTTTTTCCTTTACATACACTTTTAATTTTTCATAAATTTTGTGAAAAAACAAATTTGAATTTCTTTCAGGGACGAAAAGAGTATTGCTGTAGAGCTTTAATGCCCACCATTTCCTTTTAGAGATATGCAAAGATGCTATGAGTTCTTTGAACTCATTGTTAACTTGTCTGTGTATATCTACGTGAAGGAAAAGACCCAGTTCTTGTACGTTGCATGTTTGATTATATTTTTACTCTCCCTGTCCTGGAGTATTATTTATCTAATCTTAACTTTTTTCGGTCAAAATTGGTAAACTTTGACACTAAATTAAATAAAAATGTTAGTTTATATTAATACAAAATAATTTTATTAGATTTTTATATAAATTATTTTCAAAATATTATTTTATCTAATTAATATATGATACATATTTTATTTTATTACTCCGTATAAGCCAAAGATTAAAAACACTTAGATTGAACAAAACCAAAACTGGACATAGCTCCTCTATCCATTTTGTATGGAATCTTTTTATAAGATTATTGCATTTTGTATGCTCCGTAGTTAGGAAGTGATTGTAGTGAGTGGAGAATTTTAGTCGTGTTTTTTTAGCTTGGTGCCACCATGTACTATGTTTTGTGATTTATCACTATCTATTTCTCATGTTATTTTGTGATTTATCACTATCTATTTCTCATGTTATTTCATCTGTCTCTCATAGATCTTTACATACACTATTTAAATAATATAATCTTCTTCAATATATTTGTGTTATGATCCTATTGAGTCATATCTCCTCCCTTCGGTTTTTTAGTTGAAAAATCTTACAAATTGAAGTATATATGTTGAGGCAAAAATTAAAAAGTGAAATTTGTTTAATAGAAAATGAAAAGTATGTGGTTGGAATTTATTTGGAAATCAGTTTGAAACACAGAGAATTAAAGATGTCCATATACTTCATCCGTCCAAATTTGATTAAAATCTTTTTGGGACCTACAGACTTATGTGTCAATAACTTTTATTTGTTTATGTATTTTTATTCATTATTTGATAAAATAAAATATTTTTGTCACGTCTTGTTTTGTAAATTATTTTGACATTTATTCTTATACCAATTTTTAAATAATTTAATTTTAAAAAATGTGAGACATTGTCTCGTAAATAGAAAATTGTAATCTAATTTAGGACGAAAGAAGTATGTATTTCCTAAAAAAAAGTGAATAAGTGTATTTAAATTTGTAGCGCGTAAATGAAAAAAGTGTAAAATTTAATCAAAATTGGAGGGGTATCCCATGGGCCATAGGTTTCCATTTCCAATAGAGATTCTACATTTTCTTTTTTGTTTGTTCAACCTTCTATCGTCATTCTAAAGACACAATTATACTCCCTCCGTCCACAAATAAACTTTACGTTCACTATTTACAGGGTCAAACTTTATTAACTTTGTTGGCCTATTTTCGTCACCTATTTGATAAAATAATATAGTCATGTCACCTCTAGTTTTGTAGATCTTTTGATAAAAATTTTTAATATCTAATTTTTATTTTTCAATTTTACATCATTTTTTCATATAAAATGATTTGAAAATAACTTCAGTCAAACATCGTAACGCGTAAAATTTATTTGTGGACGGAGGGAGTATGATTTAAATCAAGGAGTGTATTTAGTGTTTTAGACTATGACTTCAGTGCTTTGAAACTCAAGTTAAGTCCGTTTTTCGTGAATGGAAATTTGGAAGAATTATTTTCAATTCAATGTATCAAATCAAGATTTAGATGTTCCAAAATAAAATTTAAATTATTTTCAAGTCAACGTACTTTTTTGAATTTTTTTTTATTTTAAGGAAAGAACTCATGGCTCACACCATTTCTCCGTCTTCTAAATAAAGTTCAGCCACACAAATTCTTCCTCTGTATTTTTCACATCAATTCTTTCTCATATTTTTCTTTTAATTCCCTTTTTCATTGAACCGGCACATAGGTGGGTGAAATCAGGCCGGAGTTCGGTTTCTTCAAGTGACAATTCCCAGACATAATAACAATGTTGGCATGGAAAACTGATAATCATTCCATACAAGAAACATTGTAATGATTTGTAGACATTAAAAAAAATGTTCCATATGTAATTGTTTAGTGTTTACAAACATCATATCGAATAAACAATTTCTATATGCTTATAGAGTTATAGTGATAGTCTGATAGGTATACGGATTATTTATACTACTCCACATTTGCTGGTCAAGCAAATGTTCATTGTACTTTGTAATGATAATATTCATGACATTCATCTTAAGCCAAACAAAGCAAAATATATACTGCTCAAGTGTAGAGTTCTTTGGGGGGGGGGGGGGGGGNGATGGACATCATATTTTACCTTTGGATCTCAAGACTCGTCCATGAAGACAGCACCGTGTCCACTGGCTTTCATGAACTTCTTCAAAAGAAGAACGATAATGGCAATGCTGAGTCCCACAGCTGCCCATGTGAATATGCGTTCATCACCTGGTCCGGCAGAGGGTACCCTATGTTCGGGCTCGTGCAGTAGTACACGCTGCTCGTGGTGGAGGTGAACGGAGGGAGCGGCCGCTCTTGATGGTGTCTGCACAGGGGGTGCAACCAATCGGGCTTCTTCTTGTTCTTCAACGATCCTATCATCCGCAGACTCTGTTATGGGGTTCTGGGAAGTTTCTGGGACCTCACCATCTCTGTTTGTGGCCTGTTCTTCTTCAGTGGCTGGGACTGCGGGGCTAGCTTGGGGAATCAGGGGTGCCTTGCTTATCATGTATTCATGTATCTGAGGACAGAGCAAAAAAATGTAGGGTCTAGTGTCAGTTGGAGGGGAGGGACGGAATTGGCTTTACTTATTTACCAATAATTATTGTTTGTGACTTAGTTTTAGAAGAAAATATGAATCTTCTTAATAAAGCTTTGTTTGGTAGTCCCAAAAGAAAAACCAGTTTGGTAGAATTGATTGGCAGAATAAGTGAGACTTTATTTGGCTTTCATAAAACTCAACCAATTCAAGCATTTCACGTTTTCAGCCAAATGACACATGTGGAACGGTCACTTAATCATGTGAAGTATTCCTTCAATTTTCAGTTTTACTTTCATTCCAATAAACTAACATAACGGTAAACTAATATTCGTAATAAATTTAATATAGCCTCTCCTTCCAAAATCCACCAAGCAAACAAAGAGTAAGTTAAATAAGGCAGGTCTGAACAGGAAAATAATTTGAGCCTCACTCTAGGAGAGACTAGCTCCTATATGGAGATTGGTCGGGCTAGCTAGGGATGGATTTTTACAATGGAGCCACGACAAAGAGACAAACCTCATCTATCAGCTTCTGGCGATCGGGGTTCCCGAATTTCGGAGCACCCTCACGGGATTTTATTGCTAGATTACGCATTTCTTCCTTTGGGTAGTCCAATGATCCAAGGGCACCATTTGGGTTGGTTGGCATGAATGCAATCAGTGCAACCAATGCAGTCCGAACTGCAAGACATGAACACAATAACTGTAAGGAACTAGTTCATGTTTCACATCTGAGACAACCTCACATGAAATAAAGAAATGACATGAACAACAATAAAGGCAAGCACAATAGTTCAAAGCTTCTTGTATACTTTCTCACTTCACAATAAGTATTGTTTGAGGATAAAGCCCACATGTTATTAAACTATATGACTGCATGAGTCATGATTGTGAAAAAAATTAATGATGTACTCAGCACTCACCACTCCAGGATGGCTGCCAGTGCTCAGGGTGATGATTTGAGATACTCAAGCAAATCTTGGTTTGAGTCTCAAAACGACCATTGGGCTGAAATGATAATAAATCCTCATTAGCACACAACTAAAGCAAAACTTATGAAAAATTCCATTCCGTTGACAACATCAATTAGGTGGGAATAAAATTTCAATTTATAACAATAAAACATCAAAATGAGCAATTGTTCCATACAGTCAAAAGCATGAAAGATGGTGGTTTGAAAGGATATTCAGCAGGCAACTGGATTCGGCCGTGATAAATTCCTCCTTCAAACTCTGAATCACTGGGGCCCCTGACTGCAAATTGCCATTCAAATATATTCTCCTGAAAGGCATAAAAGTGTTGGTTTTAGTTGCCTTTCAATGATGACATGGTAATTATATTATAAATAGATTATCAATGCATTTGTACTAACACTTTTGCTAAACGAGACAGCCTGGTCCGACCCAAAAATCACAAATGTGGTGCAATACTTGATTTACTCAACGAGCAACCTAATCTTGGTTTAGGTTAGCAACCGGCTCAATCTTGGTCTAATACTTGACATACTTCGTGATCAACCTAATTTTGGTTTAAGTTAGCAACCAAGTCAAGCAAGAACTTGGTATAATGCTTAATTTACGAAACGAGCCGGCTTGGTATGGCCCAGAAAACTCAATAGGGTCTCATTAGTGGGGCATTACATTAGGTTAGGCACCAAAAAAAACTAATATTGGGTGAAATCCAGGCCTTCTCAATTACCCCAGCACTACCAAGCAGTGCTGTTGTTCGAGCCAAGTTCGAGGATCATATAACCGAATTGGGCGTGCTCGATAAGGAACTCGATGAAGTTATTGGTACCAGATCTCGATAAACAGAAAACAGAAATCTAGAACAAGAACTTATTGGAAATCCTTCTCCAATTAATTGAAAAACTTTGAATGCATAAAATACAGAGAAACTATCCCTATTTATAGATGAGTTAACCTTGTCCAGCAAGTTAAATCATCAGCCTTGCTCTCCAAGCATAACATCTCCTACTCCTACAAGCTATGATAATCTCAAATCCATCTGAGATATATCTCCTAAAATTATGACTGACTCTACCCTAATTATTAACAAATAAAGACTTCAACATAATTACAAAATAAACCCCCTAACTATTACTGAATGTCAAGATTGGTCCAACAATCACCTCCCAATCTTGACCTTGAGTCTTCTTTTACTTCTTTGAGTCCTTCGAGTCTTCAATCCTTTCTACCCCAAAAATCTTTCTCATTTCAGCAAACTTCAGCTTTGGCATTGCTTCTGTAAGAATATCAGCCCGTTGTTGATCTCCGCTGATGTGCTCAACTTTAATCTGCTCCTTTTCAACACACTCTCGTATGTAATGATACCGCGTGTTGATATGCTTGCTTCTTCCATGAAATACTGGATTTTTCATCAAGGATATTGCTGATTTGTTATCTACTTTGATCACCACTTGTTCTTCTTTTCTTCCAGTTATTTCAGCTAACAATCCCCTTAACCATATTGCTTGACAGG